AGGCGACGGTGCTAATCACTGATCCACCTTGCGGCCCACAGTGACAAAAATCCATCCATCCATTATCTATCCACCGCTTTATCCTTACTACACACCAAGAAATCAAGGTCCACAAATGGACCTAAAATGGTACATACGCTTTGTCGCTCCAGCAGTTACCCTAACAGGGTACACCAACTGTACCTTTAAACATGACACATTTTTGTACCTCTTTATCTGTACCTGAAACGGTACATTTTTGGTACCAGGGGTGCAAAAATATACCTTTACATGCCAGTACAAAAATGTACCCATTGGAAAGACACAGAATTAGTACCTCATGAGGTACCGCTTGAGCGACATTTTGTACCTTTAAGTGGCAAAAACATACCCTTAAATTCAAAGACAAATATGTATGCAATTATTCACCAAATTTTATTTAAATCATAAACACATACATGTTTGGTTTACATTTACTTTTTACATTTTACCAGCAACAAAAATCATTTCTCAAAGTTGAGCAAAAAAGTACAAAAACGTGAATTTCTAACGTATCCAGGGTAGGATTCAAACTGGAACACGAACCGGGGATCTTGTAGCTGCGAGGCGACGGCGCTAACCACCGAGCCACCTTGAAGCCCACAGTGAAAAAAACGCAGAACATAATAATTACATATTCTATCCAGACATGCCACAAAAAAAGCCTATAAATCGGTAACTTTGTCTGTGTTGTTGTTGTTTTTGTTTTTCCAGGTTGTGCATCGAGACCTGAAGCCCAGCAACATCCGCTACTGCGATGACAGCGGGCTCCCAGAAAGCATCAGGATGTGTGACTTTGGTTTTGCCAAACAGCTCAGGGCTGAAAATGGGCTGCTGATGACCCCCTGTTACACAGCTACATTCATGGCTCCTGAGGTACACCAGCAATCACAGTCATCACAAAAAGCCCTGAATATCTCACCAACGCTTCCAGGAATTATGAAACAGCAATCAGTGCCTACTAAGTGTGTGTTCTTGTGCAGGTTCTGAAGAAACAGGGCTACGATGCAGCCTGTGACATCTGGAGCCTGGGCATCGTCCTCTACACTATGATAGCTGGGTCAGTTTACAAGCGCTTCAAACTAGCAGTGCTGATCAAAGGATATAGCTTTTTTATATTCCCCACAGCGGATTTTAAAGAGGTTTTAATTCATGAAGTGTTTCTCAAACCAGTTCTTCCACATTCATTCGTCCAACCTTTGAGCTGCTCTCTGCAATTCATAATTCCTGTTGGTCAGTTTCAGCCCGTTCGCCAGCAGTCACGAGGACACGGCAGAGGAGATCCTGGCTCAGATCGGCAGTGGCAAATTCGTCATCACAGGAGGGAACTGGGACCTGGTGTCAGATGCCGCCAAGGTTACATCTTAATGTTTTCCGATGTGCATAAAAGGCTTGTGTTGCCATGACGCAGCTGTTTTCTAAATACATGCATGTGTTTAACAGGACATCGTGGTTAAGATGCTCCACGTGGATCCTCACCAGCGTCTGACCGCCCCACAGGTACAGTCAGTTCATAATAAGACTCTCGTATGAATCATTTACACCTTTCTGACAGATGTTAAACATATTCCAGATGACAGCTTTATTCATTTGGCAACACAGAGCAGAGGGAATCACTTCAAACAAACTGTGCGGAACAATATTTCCATCATGCCATATGTACAAATGTCCTTTCAATTGAAATCAGAATACACTGTTGTATGTTAGCTCCACTCTATCGTTTCTACTGTACTATGCCATCATTATTATGGTTAGTTGTTGAGATAATACATTAAAAGTAATATCATTTTCGCTGTGATGCTCTTTAGGTTCTTCGCCACCCCTGGATTGTCGAGAGAGACCAGCTCTCNGGTTTTACATTTAGTGTCGGATTATCGAGTCACGACTGTATTTCTATTTTGAGATGCAAGGTTTCATTTTGTTCAACAAAGATTACGTGCAATCTATAATGCGTTCCATATAATTTAACGTTTGACCTAAATCCCACCTACAAATCCCGTCTAAAAACGCAGTAATTATGAAATGAATTGAGAACCTGCATATGCTGGGGGAGTGATGCATTGTGGGAAGAAATAGATGGGAGTACAACAATTCAAAGTGTATGTTTTTTTTCACTTCTTGCCGACTTCCAGATGTGTTTACGTGTTGCAATTGTGAGTCTTTTACTACGTATCCTGTGTGTTCCTGTTTTTGTATCAGATCATTGACAGAGCACGGAGAGATCCATCAGAAGAGATTGAGATTCTGTTAAGATATGGACAGCATCCAAACATTATCACCCTCAAAGATGTAAGATCACACACACACACACACACACACACACACACACACACACACACACAATGCCACAACAATACCTGTCAGTCTTTGTCTTCTTTATCTTGAGAAAGCAAATGACAGCAATTTAAGTCTGAATCTGAGTGTTTCTTAAACATCAGTATATGTATATTTGTGCTGCTATATAAGCTATTTGTGTGTGTCTCGTGTGTGTGTGTGTTCACTTCTACCTGCAGGTGTTTGACGATGGTCAGAGTGTCTACCTGGTTCAGGATTTAATGAGAGGAGACGAGCTGCTGGACAGAGTTCTGACGCTGCCAAACTTTACTGAGAGAGATGCATCAGACATCATCTGCACACTCACCAAAACGGTGGAATATTTACACTCACAGGGGGTAAGGACACTGACAAAGATCCATCCATCATCTATGCACCTTA